ACTCACTTGGTACAAGCATTCTTTCCGGTAAGGGATGCAGTTCTATGCAAAATACTATAAACTGTTTAGAAATACTTCAAATATTAGTTCCTTCATGGTCATTATATGACTTTCTCAGTTCCAGGATCTTATGACATATGTACTGAATTGTGTAGAAACTCAACAAGACTTCCTGTTTTGTTTTTGTTTTTTGTTTTTTTGTCTGTTTGTTTGTTTGTTTTTTGTGTTTGTTTGTTTGTTTGTTTGTTTTTTTGAGGCAGGGTTTCTCTGTGTAGCCCTGGCTGTCCTGGAACTCATTCTGTAGCTCTGTAGACCAGGCTGGGCTCGAACTCAGAAATCCACCTGCCTCTGCCTCCCAAGTGCTGGGATTAAAGATGTGCGCCACCACTGCCCAGCTTGGTTTTGTTTTTCTTGGCTGCAAAACTTTTCTATTTTCTATGAAATTCATAATATCCATTAATTTTCTGAACTCTATCGCAATTGTTACTGCAATAAAAAGGCATTTGATACTGTATAGAACCCCAAGAGTCTGACTGTAATTTTATATTATATTACATTATATCTGCTCTGAAAACATTAAAACAGCAGTTATTGAACTGTGTCATCTAATTGTCATATTGTTTGCCTAAAAGCCCCCAAAGCAAGAACAAGCATTTTTACAGTATCTAGAATCATGCAAAATGTCTAATGCATGGGATATTAAATATTTAGTGTTTGAACGTGAATCCTCTTGTAGAAACACAAATGGATGGATATTCGGATATTTATATTCATGGAGGAAGAAACATTTCCAAGGGAAAGGCTGTTGATTTGTAACTAACATATTATATTTTAAAGAACGATGACAAATGACACACTTGTTGACTGCTAGGTGAGACACAGGCAGAGAAGTTCAAGCTACAGTTTACTTATTTATTCATTTTTATTTATTTCCCTTGCAGGGTAACACCTGTGAACTCTTCACGCTAATTAGTGTCACCTGGTGGTGACTTCTTAAGGAGAGCCTGTGAATTAAATCCTTGATTGCATGACTGTTCTGAATCTTTTTCTTTCTTATTTTTTTTCAAGCACTCTTGTTTCCTTTGTAAATAATCCGTGATTTATCTTTGGCAGAGGGAGTGGATGGGCATTTTCTTTTTCTCATTTAAAGAACTTGACAATCTGCTTTATGTTATTTCTTTGAATCGGCACAGAGCACACGATCAGTGAAAATCATTTGGCAAAGCACGATGGTGGCCATGGAACAGCAAGAAAGGTTTCAAGGTGAAGAGAGGCAAACATGGGCTTGTAAGCCTGGGTGCTCTTCACTCCTCTGCCCTTCACCCTCTCTGAAGCTCCTTCACTGCACCCTGCCCTCCCACTCCCCCCACACACACACCAACTCTCACTGGCTCATGGCTTATCTCGCATACCCATGTGTTTTGGACATGAGGTGAGGAGGTGGAGGAGAGGGCTTGAGATGTAATAGTAGACTGGGGAGTGCAGGGGAACTGCAGAGCAAGAAAATAGATGAGAGCAGCAGGAGGCAGTGGGAAGGCCTGCTGAGAGCAGAGACAGGCAGCATTTATATCTCAACCTTATGTCTCCTGGGCCACTTTTGGCTCTGTCTTCTTCCTTGCCCATGCTGGTGTTTCCTCTAGCTGGAATGTCCTTGTCACTTGAATGTTCCTATTGCCCTCAAGACCCACCTTAAAAATTACCTGACTCTCATGTGAATCAGTCAGTGTTGTGTTCCACTGTGTTTTGACATCAGTGTTGATACATATGTTTATAGAAATTGTTTATATCAAAATAGATGTGAAGGATTAAAGTGAGTGATTTGAGTTCATTTACATATATACTCTAGGAAAGTGCATGGCTAAGGACAGATATTGAAGAAATATTTATTGAATGAATGAATGAACAAATCTTATTTAAGTCCGAATTCTTTACTCTTTCCCATAATATATGGACTCAAAATCATTCATATGGTTAGATGGGTGACTAAAGTATTATATATTTCATGTGTTTAATGTTTTTTTTTTCTGTTTCTCTTATAAATAACCTCTGTACTGAAGGTTTCACAAGCCACCCCTGGAATTGATCCACACATGCAGTGATTTAAATTGGTACTCTCTACTGAGGATGTTGATAATTCCATTACCTCCAATCCATCAGAAATACTGCTGCCAGCCATAGGACACCTCCCTTCAAGTACTTGTTTTGAGAAAATCAGAGAGACTCCACAACAGTATAGGCTTTTGCTTTTGTCCTTGGTTTCCTTCCAAAACTTGAAAACAAGACTCTTTTGCTGAACCTACCACTCCCTCCAGACACAGTACATGGAGGAATTGAGCTGAAATTTAGCAAAAATTCTCCATCTCTAGATCCAGCTCTGGTAGTGTTAGAAGATGCTAAGCAAGCTTCCAAGAGAGAAAAACATTAGACTTACCCAGCTGGGAAGCCTAAGAGCACACTGGTTGGACTTAAGGTCCACTCAATATTAAATAATTTATGACTAGTTCTATAATCACAGTTTTATATAGATAATATGTTATTAAAAGCAAAGAAGAAATAGTGGAGGGATAAAATATAAATAAGAAGAAAAATATATAGGCTGGAGGTGTAAGCAGTGGTACAAGGAACAGTATAGATGAAAAAATGTATACAAGATTTCATAGGTACAGAAATGATGAGATTCTTTTCAAGTGAGACAAGAGTTAAAACACCGTAGCATAAAAATTAGCGTAAAAACTATAGGTAGTATTTAAAATAGAAATACAGATTGAAAAGGTAAATTACTACAATGTAAAATATAGAAACAGGAAATAACATGAAGTGACTGTCCTGGAGCATTTTATTCTCTTCAGGATGCTCTGCTTTCTCCTGAAGGTTGTCAGTCTCCACAGCTAGGAAGAAGAAGAAATGATGTCTAAACCACTCAAGTCAGAGTGCCCATCTGCATGAGGAAATGTGGTCTGAGTGCAGATTATCTTCTGCTATAATTCTGGACTGGAGAACAGCCCCACTCTCTTACCCATTTCCCCAGAAAGTTACAATCTTTGCTCAAGAGCATTTAGGATATCACTTTCTCTACACAAGATTCTTCCTTTTTGTGGCTCAGATTCTGAAGGGTTGTGGGAAGCAAGTGTACATGAGTATCTTTTTGTGCTAGGTTGAAACAGTGCCTTTGTGTAGTTGGCTTCTGGCAATGGTAGAAGGTGGGAGGTTTTTATACTCTGTGTGTCTGTGTGTCTGTCTATCTGTGTTTCTGTCTATCTGTCTTGGGCTCAGATTCCCAGGACATACTTCTGCTTCTTCTACTTCTTGCTCAGGTCCAAACTTTATGTTTTCTTTTCAGCTGCATAATCCTGTCTCTGAAACACCCAGTGTAGAACCAAGAAGCAGTTGTCTGTCAGATATTGTGCCTAATGAGTTTTGTCTAACTCTGGTGGCCAGGTTGGGTTCAGTAACAGTTGCCACCATACTTTGGCAGTTCACTAGTACATATCCCAAGTGCTGATAAACCATTAGTTAGTTCAGCTTCCTATATTGGCCCAACAGCCTCCTTCATTCTTTTTACTCTATTCAAACACAGCATCTAATCTCTCATCTTCCCGAAAGGCCTCAACGTTCGAGAACATGCTTCTGTGTATGGTTTTCCTGACCCACATCTCAAAATGAACACTCTAGAAATTGCAGGTTTTACAATTTCTAAAACCTCACTGTCATAGTTTGATGAGCAGTTTACCTGTTCCATGACATGTGCCATTGTGCCATTGACTTCTGTGGATTTTTGAATATTTTCCGCAGTGTTTCTTTTTTTAATTCTTTTACTTAGATACTAGGCACAAAAATAAATCCATTGAACCTCATTTCTAATTTACAAATGTCAGAATATAATAAATACTGTTTTGCCTTTTAAACTATGAAAGTTAAATCATTTTTATTATTTGCATGAAGGACATTAGCTGCTTCTTAATATATCTCTTTTTGAAGAAGTTATTGTTCAAATAGTGTAATTCTGCTTCTGCATGTCATGGTAAAGTGTGTGCTCATTAAGCAGAGGGCATGGGCATGACCCTCACACGTCCACTTCCTCAGCATGCTTCTCAGATGTCTGTTTCATAGGTTAGAGATTTCTATTGATCAAACAGCATAAGTCCCTAAATATATTCTTGTCTCCTTTCCTATCGCCTACCCTCACAAAGTATGCATGAAACCAGGAGATGGTTCCTCCTTTTTTCAAATATTTTAAAACCCACGTGATGGTTCAGGAAAGATCAAGAGGGAAAGAAAGAGGTAGAGAGAGACATGGAGTTTTGAGGACAGGAGGTGTAGAATGGATAAACTACAAAATTGGATTTGTCCTGCAGCTTCCTCATCCCAACCCAGTGCTCAGCTTCCCAACTACAAGATCGGAAGCATCCACATAAAAAAAAATAGTATGTCACAAAAGAACTATCAAAATATATGAATACTAAAATGATGCAGTGTATGCTGGTTCAGATGTGATTATGCAAGTAAACCAATCAGCGAAAGCAGCTGTTTGGGGAATGCATTTCATTGACTTTAGATTAGCAAAGATGTGAAAAGGTATTCACTGGCTGTGTCATTGCGCCTGTCTATTTCTTCCCTGAAAGACTGCTCTGTGAGACACTGTTATGATTCAAATGTCATTCACACAAGAGTAGCAAGAACAAAGCAGGATTTCCAATAGAAGAAGATCTAATTAAGAGAATAATATTTGCTTATTGTCAGCACCTAATTAGTTTCCCCTGTATTCATGTTTATAGAGGTGGCTCTGTTATAATTACAGTTCAACAAGGAGCAGTTGTGTAATGTGTCCCAGTGCAGAAAATGCAGCTAAGAGGCGGAGGTCTTCCCCTTTCCCTCTTCGTACAAACCAACACACTCGCACAATAGAGATATCAGATGGCTACATTTCACTCTTTTCTTCACAGTGTTAGGTTCAAACTAATAAGCTTAGTGAAGGGAAGAAAAATGTGTTACTATTTTACCATTCAATGCATCTGACTTCAGTGTATTATGAGCTGGTAAATTGGAGGTGGGGTAGTAGAAGTTTATGGTCTTTTGCTCTTCAATTTTAAAATTGGCATTTCTTGTCTTTTCACTTTCGAGAATCTGATCCCTGCAAAGGATAATAGGAAAACTCAGAGGACAGTCATGGACCATAAATGTATGCAAAATAGTGAAACTATAATTGTGTTCTATGCTAATGGGGGAGATACCCTGGCATTGAACAAAATCCAGTAATGTTCTCTGCTTACATCTCAAAGGAGAATATTGACCAAGCCAAGTCACGAGCGCCTTTGAGAAAAGCTGCTATCTTCAATTAGAGATGCAGAGGAGCCTCACTGAGGGTCTCTTCATATTCTCAATTCATCTTAACCACATGCCTTTAGTATCCTAACTGAAAACCGTTTCCCACTGCAACAGCAGAGGAAAACACTGGGTGCCTTTATGCAATGTGACATTTCTATGACTAAATCAAGTAGGAGTAGTTAATCTATGAGGATGCTGTTACTTAGATCATTTTATTTCTTTCCTTAGTAATCATCCCATGATGATACAGGTACCAGGCTGATCTGAAACTTCAGGCTCTTTCATTTTGTTTCCAACCAAAATATAGAGAAGAGATAACAAAAATATCTTTGCTCAAAATTTAGTCACAAAGTGGCATGCATCACGTAAGTTTCATTTCCGTAGATGCTAACGCACAAACCACTTTAGAGAGCCATGGCTCCTGGCTGGGTAGCCTTCTCCTGCTGTCAATTCCAAATCATTGAGAAAATAAACTGCTAGAACACTAAGCATCCTTTGCACATCATTTCGGGTAGCCTGCTGCTTGCTTTAGGCCATGTCATTTGGCAAGCTCAAACTCAACATTTAAGCATTACTTCTCTTTACACTTATCTATGGCCTTCTAAGACAACAAATTGCCTCTTCTTCCAGTTGAAATGCCTGTTAATCTTTCAAGAAAAAAAAGAATATATATATATATATATATATATATATATA